TCCACCATTATTGTCCATTATGATTGTTCACTATACTGTCCTCTATATTGTCCACTATATTGTACACTATATTGTCCAGTATATTGTCTACTATATTATCTAATGTAATGGCTAGTATATTGCATAGTATATTACATAGTATATTAGTCTATAATATTGTCTAGTATATTATCTAGTATATTGGCTAGTACATATATTGTCTAGTATACATATTGGCCAGTACATTGTCCACTATTATTGTCCATTATGATTGTTCATTATACTGTCCTCTATATTGTACACTACATTGTCCAGTATATTGTCTACTATATTATCTAGTGTAATGGCTAGTATATTGCATAGTATATTGTCTAGTATATTGCCTCGTATACTGTCTAATATCTTGTCTAGTAGATTGCCTAGTATATTGTCTGATATATTGTTTAGTATATTGACGAGTCTTTTGTCTAATATCTTGTCATAGAATATAATGTACACTGCCTAGTATATTTTCCAGTATATCGTCCTCTATATTGTCTACTATATTGTCAATTATATTGTCAACTATACTGTCAACTATAGTGTCCAGTATATTGTCTACTGTATTGTCTAGTGTAATGGCTAGTATATTGCATAGTATATTGTCTATAATATTGTCTAGTATATTGCCTCGTATACTGTCTAATATCTTGTCTAGTAGATTGCCTAGTATATTGTCTGATATATTGTTTAGTATATTGACGAGTCTTTTGTCTAATATCTTGTCATAGAATATAATGTACACTGCCTAGTATATTTTCCAGTATATCGTCCTCTATATTGTCTACTATATTGTCAACTATACTGTCAACTATAGTGTCCAGTGTATTGTCTACTGTATTGCCTAGTATATTGCTTCGTACATTGTCTAGTATCTTGTCTAGTACATTACCTAGTATATTATCTAATATATGGTTTAGTATACTGTCGAGTGTATTGTCTAATATCTTGTCTAAGTAGTATACTGTACATTGCCTGGTATATTTTCCAGTATATTGTCCCCTATATTGTCCACTATACTGTCAACTATATTGTCCAGTATATGGTCCAGTATTCTGTCCAATACCTTGTCCAGTACCTTGTTCAGTATATTGTCCAGTATCTTATCCAGTACCATATCTAGTACCTTGTCTAGTATCTTATCTAGTACCTTATCCAGTACCTTATTCTGTACCTTTCCTAGTATATCGCCTACTATCTCGTTTGTTCTACGTAGCTGAAATGGCAGTGAAAATGTGCAAAACTCTAGCCACCTCCATCGATCATTCTCAGACCGCAAGGTCACCTAGAACTATTGAACCCAATAGTGTCCTTATGAAGTGAATACACGCAGAGACTAATCGGGAATCATGTAAAAGGGCCTATACGGAGGCTTTTTCCTCGGCTCATGAGAACAAGGCGTGGAATAATGTTTTCGTGCAACGGCCGAAAGACAAACAGCTCGGGATCTTCGGCAGACAGGCCCACCAATTTACCCAACGGCAAACGAAGACACATCGAGTCCACGGTTTATAGGTGTACATATATATATACAGGGTGAGTCAATAAGAACTACTATCTAAAATCACTCGTTACCCCAATTGGAGGTATACAAAACGTTTTAATGAATTATATAGCATTTTAAGGACGCATCGGCTGGATAGAATTTGATTTCATTATATCAAATTGTTTTTAAGCTATCAAGGTGACCTTGAGTTGTTCAAGGACAAAGCATCTTTTTTTTTATTATCCCGTTGTTGTCGATTTTAGCGACCTATAGCACGGTGTAATTAAGAAAAAGATGCACTGACCTTGAAAAAACTCAAGGTCACCTTGATACCTCAAGAAAATTAGATATAAAAAAATCAGACTGTATCCATCCGATTGGTTTCTTACAGTGCTACATAATTTATTAAAACGTTTTTTGATACAATCAATATTAGGTAACGAGTTATTTTAAATAGTAGTTTTTATTGACTCACCCTGTATATTCGTGCAACCCTGTGGAAGGACCAATTTCGCCGTTTCTCGGTCGCCCGTTGCCACGTTAATCGTTATTTATGACCGCGGGCTACTTTTCGTGCTCACCTTCTATTTGCTTATCGATCCCACGGAACGGACCTCGCGAGATTGCGAGAACGGTCACGATACAGACACACACCTCTGGCAGAAAGAGCGCGCAACTCCCTCTTTGCCTCGATCCGCCTCGATCATTTTTCATACGATCAACGGAGGAACGCCGCCGCCGCCGCCGCCACACTCGCTGATTTATCGCTCGTTCCACGGTGACTAAGAAAGATGTTATTACGAGTGCAATAATCACGCTGACTTTATTACGCCCGGGTATTAGAATAATGGTAATTAGGGGATGGTAATGCGCCGCGGGAATAGGTACGGTAGACAATGGTCAGCGAGGTGGGATACGATATTGCGTTGCTATTGTGAAACGTGATCCTTGGAGTACAGGATCGAATGTATGACCGATTGTGGTTCTTCGCTTTTTTAAAGTGTTTATTGTTCCATTGGAAGATGGATGGACGATGAGTAATCTAACTTGACTGTTTAACATTATTTCAGATCGAAGAATCGAATTTTTATTGTTATAGTAATTATTGTTTAAGGACACGAATCAGTTAGATGCTTTTGCATGGAAGTAGTTAATATTTCTGTTTTGAATTTAAATATTTTCCCGCCTTTGGGCGGTTTGAACGAACTTAGGTTCTATATTTTTTATAAAACATAGTATAAAAGGTTTCGGAGCAGACATTTTAATCTTCGCTGGATGTACTTTATCAAATTAACACGGTCTTTCGTTTTTCGGAAATATGAATGATAAATTTAAGAAAATATATCGAATGACTTGTTGGTATAGTTGATATTTGGTTAATGACCAATAAATGAACCATCAGACATGTTGAAAGGTTACTATTGTTTTCTATTATAATTCGAACATATTTATAATTTCTTCTATTATTTTTAGGTCTATTACTTATAGGTCAGAAACAAAAATTTGAGACAGTGAGATCGGTGAATCAAGTACATGTGAACCCTTGTATAACACGGTGGTTAGGTGGGATTAGGTTGCAAAACTATTAATCGTATTAGAACGAAACCGTTTTATGGGAATACCGTGTTACTGGAATGCTGTGATATACGGGGGTTGCCTGCATAAAGCTACGTCTCCACTTGAGAGTTATTCTCAACAAAATCTAAATGCAGACCTTGTTATTGGAATATCATATTATGGGAGATGTCTGCGTAAAGCTGCGTCTCCACTTGAAAGTTTTTTCTTGAAAAATTTAAACAGACCTTGTTAGTGGAATACCGTATTATGGGAATACCGTTTTTTACGGGGGATATCTGCGTAAAGTTGCGTCTTCACTTGAAAGTTTTTTCTTGAAAAATTTAAACACAGACCTTGTTAGTGGAATACCGTATTATGGGAATACCGTTTTTTACGGGGGATATCTGCGTAAAGCTACGTCTCCACTTGAAAGTTTTTTCTTGAAAAATTTAAACACAGACCTTGTTAGTGGAATACCGTATTATGGGAATACCGTTTTTTACGGGAGATATCTGCGTAAAGCTACGTCTCCACTTGAGAGTTATTCTCAACAAAATCTAAATGCAGATCTTGTTATTGGAATACCGTATTCTGGGAGATGTCTGCGTAAAGCTACGTCTCCACTTGGAAGTTTTCCTCTAAAAAATTTAAACACAGACTTGAAAATAACTCTTTAACAAATCTTAAGGAATCTTTTAGAGCAACTATTCCTTATCAATACTTTCCATGGTATATTCGAAATCAAAAGCCATAAGGCCTTAACGGCGATTTTTCGCGTGAACACGCAGCATAACGCGCCCCGTCACGGAAGATGCCTCCGCGTTCTCGTATATATACGTTGCGAACGGCGTAACTCGAGACAGTAAATTCTCGGGAATGCTCGTTTTTATCATTCTCGATTTATTACTAATTTCCAGCGTGGCGTGGAAAAAAAAACCCCAAGAGAGACCGGTAAATTCGTTTAATTTCAAATATGGCGCGTCTCACGGTTCAACGTTAATACCGGGGCAACGATTGGCAGTCGCGCCGTTAACGCCGCTTACGATGTTTCGTAGGTAGGAAACATAAATTTAATAAGTTCCTCCGAATCACGCGTGCACACGATATCCTGATCGGAGAGGAGTGAAACAACCGGCGCGCATGGAAAATCGCATCTTCCTTTTTACGTTTCGTTCCCGATGGTAATAAAACCCGCCCGACCAGGGAGAGGTGTTAGAAAACGTAAACGATTGGATCATACCGTGTGTTCGATTTTGAAAATTTGTTTACAGTATTGAAAATTGGACGGAAACTGAATTAACGATTTTTCATGCGAAAAATTGAGCTTTTTATTAGTAATACACATTTTGGTGGCAGTAACGTATTATTTATTAGGACTTTTGGCCTGTGTGAAGAGAATATAGTGTTTTATAATGAGATACAAGGTTCAGTCAAAGAGTTCCGTTCTATCTGAGAAAAAAATGGTTCATTTACTTATTTCTTCTTAGACCTACAAAGTGGTGTAATTCCATAGGGGTTACTATCCCCTAACAAAATGAATCTGTGCTGTACTCTTTCTATTAGTTCCATTTCCCCTCTGTTTATTAGTCCTATGTTCGCTCTCTATTATTCCTACGTCTTCTCTCTATTAATCTTAAATACTCTCTCTATTAGTCCGATGTTCCCTCTTTATTAGTTTTATATACTCCATCTATTAGTCTTATATTTTCTTTTTTTAACAGTCCTATGTTCTCTCTCTATTAGTCTTACGTACTCTAGTCTTATATTCCGTCTCTCTCTATTATTCTCATGTACTCCCTCTATAAGTCCTACAGACTTCCACTGCACCAACGACAAAATAACAGGTTGCGCATTCAAATGGTGTTCCAACAGGCGTACAGATGCAATACAATGTTCCATTAGGATATTTGGATTTTCCATTTCGAAATCCACTTGTAAAATGGCCAGTCCCGTGGAAAGAGGCGTCGCGGAACAGTCCAGTGCAGTACGAATCTCGGGGAAAAGTTCCTCCGTGGTACGGAGAGGGCATCGTTCCGTATCTTCCTCGGATTCCTCTCTCGATCTTTCGCTTCATAAATCGTTGGCGCAACGGACCGCGAAGCCATAACTCGTGGCGGCTGGCCTGGAGGAGGTCGGAGGAGGTGGAGGAGGAGGCGTCGGCGTCGAGCCGTCCGTCTCTTGCCTCCGTATCCCTGTCCATGTCGGTACCCACGCGACCAAACCGTGGAAGGAAGAGGCCTCGGGATCCGCTGGAAACGAGCAGTTTCGCATACTTATCCCCCCTCATCCCATCTCTGTTCGGCTTTTTCACGCGGAACCTCTGGCATCGAACAATTGAACGCTTCAACCGTTGAATAACTCTGAACTCGCTGGATCGAAAATTGTATTTGATTTCCGGTGGATCGTCTCGAGGGGATTGATTGAATTGAAGGTCATTGCCCTCTGAGAGACGGGTTCAAATGGATTTTTGTATCTAATTAGTGTGACAGCCTCTTTCATAACCTCTGGTCAGTCACAATATGTTTACTATATAGAAGAAATAGGTTATCCAAGACAGGAATGTTAATTTTCTGTTTCTACTGTTATTTTGGTATCTCACTTTTTCGTTACCTGAATATTACTAGTGTCTGTTAAAGTTTTACTTGTAGACACTGTCCTGTGAAATTATAGTTTAACGGTATACAATATAGTATAAAGGACAGTATAGAGGACAATATAGAGGACAATATAGAGGACAATATAGAGGACAATATAGAGGACAATATAGAGGACAATGTAAAGGACAATATAGAGGACAATGTAGAGGACAATGTAGAGGACAATATAGAGGACAATGTAGAGGACAATATAGAGGACAATATAGAGGACAATATAGAGGACAATATAGAGGACAATGTAAAGGACAATGTAAAGGACAATATAGAGGACAATGTAGAGGACAGTATAGAGGACAGTATAGAGTACAGTATAGAGTACAGTATAGAGTACAGTATAGAGTACAGTATAGAGTACAGTATAGAGTACAGTATAGAGTACAGTATAGAGTACAGTATAGAGTACAGTATAGAGTACAGTATAGAGTACAGTATAGAGTACAGTATAGAGTACAGTATAGAGTACAGTATGTATAGAGTATAGTGTAGAGTGTAGTATAGAGTATAGTGTAGAGTGTAGTATAGAGTATAGTGTAGAGTGTAGTATAGAGTATAGTGTAGAGTGTAGTATAGAGTATAGTGTAGAGTGTAGTATAGAGTATAGTGTAGAGTGTAGTATAGAGTACTGTATGGAGTACAGTATAGAGTAACACACTGTTCACAGTATAGTATAATGCACTATCCAAAAGCATAATTTATCAACAATTATTAGGTGGTAGCATAATACATATCGTTTCCCAACGCCTTTCATTTTAAGCCACTGTAATATAGAAAAACTGAACAGAGGGATCAAGAAGCTTGTAATTTGTTGGTAATAGTGTTTCCTTATTCAGTTGGATATTATTTCGACTAGAAAACCTTTTCGAGATAAATTATAAACAATGTTCAAACGCTATTGTTGAAAAACTTATTTATTATTCCGTCACGAACGAAAGCGCCGATCATTCTCGTTAGAATCGAACAGGCGTGACAGTAGTCTCACGAAGTGGTCCCCACTTGGGACATTTTATTGTGCAACCGGGATTATCGATCAATGGCCACCGGGTGATTTTTTCGGATGTCGATACCGCGAGTCATTTGTACGCCAACACCCGTATCACGCCCACGTGCGCGCGCGTGACAACGAGGACTTACGCGAAACAGAGAGAATGTCCGAAACAGAAAAAAGAATAGTAAACCGGGCGATATAAATAAACGTGAAAGAATAGGCTAGATTTGTTTGTTACGGGAGCGGCGTTTGGACGGTGTAATCGTTTGTTGAAAACAATCCTGGTGGCACGAAACGCCTGTATACGAAGGGAGTAACAGTTTCGAAAACTGTAGTGTAAAAATGGGCCATTTAGTTGAATGGTTTATCATATTGTCCCTGATTCATCTAAACATTTAGTCAACTGTTTTTTATAACACCATTAACCCTGTTGTTCTAATCGGATTTATATGACCCGAAATGAAGATGATATTTCAATTATTGTTTTTAAATGTTTATTTGTAATATCCAACGTACTTGTCGTCTAATGTTTGTGCATTTCCGGTTGATTTAAGGACAAATCATTTCATGGTTTGAAATAATTTTATTCGAAGGTTTATTATCACGCATCTCAAATAATTTAGGAGATTTAGCCAGTTGGGAGATCGAGAGCTAATTCCCTCCTAACGCCAATATTGATTTAGAAAAACAAACTCCATCTTAGTATGTCCTCTTTACAAAAAGAAGAAAAAAAGATTACAAAAGTCTCCATATTTTTGAAAACTTGTCCATTAAACGGTCAAAGTAGGACTACATGATCATTTTTTTTCCAAATTTTTAACTAGTGCCCCGCTATTATAACATTGCATTTCTTTAAAACAATTACAAAATAAACGGTTAAAAAATGCATCTGTTTAACTGAAATAATTTTTATCAGGTAAACTTATGTCTCCACTGTAAGCACCCGCATAGTTGAGTATGATCAGTTCGTTAGTTGAGCAGTTATGAATTATTAAAAAACAAATTGTCCAAAACAATTGTCCACATTCTCAAAACTCCTTCGTTTATGTATTAGTAAAGACTACAAAATATTGAAGTGTCAACTAAATCCGAAATGTCACTCCCAAAAAGTGTCCGATTTCGCGGTGGAATGACCCTATTGGAATTTGAATGGTGAATTTTTCTTGCAGTTGCAGGGACTTAAACCGGTATAATTTTGATACCGGTATTATGCTATCAAAGCTATATCCAAACCGATATATCACCGTAAACCGAACTAAATACCGGTATTTTGAAGGTTTCTATAAGAGTAGGGCTTATACAAGGTGGGCCGGAAATCGTAGTACAACCGGGCAAGGGGTGGTCCTACATTAAAAAAGAAGAAAATATTGTGGTATAACATTTTCTGATCCGGGGCTCCGTTTTTGAGAAAATCGACTTTAAAGTTTGTTCACCAATAAAGTAGGAGGATATAATCACGGAGAAGACTAATTTCGGACGCGTGAAACGGTGTATGAAAATTATTATAATTTCTTTTAAACATTCTTTTCACACTTTCAGTATTTATTTACTATTGCCTAAATGTTCAACTTATATTTTTTAAATATTTCTTTTATATTCTATGAATATCTAGTTTACATTTCTTAAACATTTATTTTATATTTCCTGTATATGTATACAATACTGGGATTCAATATTTATTTCATATTAAAAAGTGTGGCTAGAAGAATATTTTTTCAATATTTGAAATTATATTATTCAATATTATTCAAAAACATATTTAACTAATATTTTTGTGCCACCAGGGACGCATCATTCACAGTCCCAGCCGATAGGAAACGCTAGTCACCGAACACGGGACGCTTATGGTCGCGTTGCTCGCTGGTGACTCACTCCCGCCCATCATCCTGCGAGGCTACCCATCCCCCTACCGGGTTCCCGGTACTTATCCTGTATCCTACGCTGCACCTTCACCTACTCGAGCTGCGGGGAACGTAGGCAGGCGCGGGCGAGCGCGCGCGCACCGTCCACTCGCGGTTGGAAAAGTATTGACCGGCGCCCATTGATCGCTCATTGACGCGTCCACGTGCTGCACGGCCATTCTTCCCCGGTCTTCTTGGTCGGTCCACGCGCGCAATCTGCATTCCGCTGGTTTTGTACAGGTGACGGGAATCTTGGGGGCACGCGTCCACCGCTCCCAACCGCTCGATTATTCCGTCTGTTCTTTAATGCATTTGCTTGGACGAGACGCGTCGTTATTGTACAGGATGCTTCAGGAAGCACGGTGGATTCTGGGAAACGGAGGAACTATCATCGGGGGTTCGTACGTGTAGTTAATGGGAGTGATTGGTAAAGTGTTTATTGCTTCGTTTTACTAGTAAGACGTAGGAAAATTTAATAATATGTATGTATTATTATTAATATGTTTTTGGAATATAGGAAACGAAATTCTCTTCAACTTTGTGTTTTATGGATTAGTGACTAGAAGTGTAAATATGAATAAAAAATCAGAGTATAGTGATCAGTATAACTTAATATTCGAACGTTCTGTTATCCGAATGTTCAGTTATTCGGACGTTCTACTATCCGAACGCTCTGTTATAAAAATTATCTACTATCCGAATGTTTTACTATTCGAACGTTCCACTATCCGAAAGTTCTACTATCCGAACGCTCTGTTATCCGAACATTCTATTACTTGAAACTGTCTACAATTACAATTCAAACGTTCATATAAACGAAGTTTAATATAAATTATTAATCAATTATTTACTAATTTATATTAGCGTTTTATAAAAAGATCAGCATATTTCCAACAAATTCGTTTTGCAAAATAGTAAAATACCATCTATTTAGTAATATAAATATTCTGAAAACTCATTTTTCGAAAATATCACAAAATTGTTTGCATAAACAATAAAATTCGTTTCGCATGGATTCGAACAGACTCGACAAGCCGTGCTCCGAAAGGCAGTCCGTTGAAAGGCGGCTAAATCAAGATAGGGAATTAAATTTGCCTGTAAAAACGAATAAATAATATTGGAAACAATAAAAACGAAGTTACTGTACTAAAAACGGCAGGCAGAAGAAAGGCATCGGGGACCGCGGGAGAGATTTGCATTTAAAAAGGGCGCGCGACTCTCCGGTGAAATATATGACCGAACCGTGAGGCAGGAGATAAAGCCCGCAGTGGGAAGACAACGGTCAAAGGGAGGGGGTGAAGTGAAACGACACGAAAGGAAATGGGCGCGCGCTGTGAGTGAGAAAAGGATAAGACGCACGTAGCTAAAGAAGGAAGAGACGCAGGAAACGACGATAATAATCACAATGAAGAAAGAAGGCGTTTGGAACGAGAAGAAAATTGGATTTGTTTTATTCAATAAATAGTATTCTATTTTTACTGTAAATATAGCAGTTTCGGAAATTATTAGCTGCTATTAGGGTACCCTAGATAAATGACAAAATACAAAAATGATCTACTATCCGAACGTTCTACTATTTGAACGTTCTGTTATCCAAACTTTCTACTATCGGAACTTTGAACTGCTGCACTAATACTTAAACGTTCTACTATCCGAACCTTCCACTATTCGAACGTTCTACTGTTATCAAAATGATCTACTATCCGAACTTTCTGTTATTAAAATTATATACTCTCCGAACCTTCCACTATCCGAACCTTGCACTATCCAAATCTTCTACTATCCGAACTTTCTGTTATCAAAATTATATACTCTCCGAACCTTCCACTATCCGAACCTTGCACTATCCAAATCTTTTACTATCCGAACTTTCTGTTATCAAAATTATATAATCTCCGAACCTTCCACTATCTGAACCTTGCACTATCCAAACCGTCCACTATCTGAACGATCTGTTATTAAAATGATCTGTTATGCCAACCTTCCACTACCCAAACCATTCATCATCCGAACCTTCTACCATCTGAACATTCTGAATGGCCAAGTAATTAATAATTTTCCAATACAGAAACTGATTTCTAGAAAAATTTATAATAATTTGTAGTAATGATAATGTAATATAATAATCGCAATTAAGGGAAATCGACTCTCGTGGCCCCTCAAACAGTTTCTCCAACGTCCAAGGAAACAATATACTACTATCAATATAGTTCGATGAATATAAACAGCAATAGTGGTGATAATCGCGGTGGACGCTGTAAAAACACTAAAATGTAAACGGTCGAGAAACCGAAGAAAAATATTACGCTTTATTTTCGCAAGCGTTGGGTAGGGTGTGAAATTTAAATGAAAATTTTTCGTTTAGACAATGGATCGTACAACGGGGTCGACCAGAAAAAAATACAGCTTCCGCCATGAATATTCCTTCGTCGAATTTTTCGCCCATTTTTCTCTCTCTCTTTTTTATATTTATTTTAAATGGGTAGTAGAAAGAAATCACGGAATTTCGTCGAATTTATATGTCCGGCGATCAGAGGTTCGGCCAGTAGAAAAAGAGAGAGAGAGAGTTAACTATATGTGTTCCTGGGAAATGTA